CAAATAAAATAAGCTGTAAATAAGAATAGTGAATAGTGAAAATATCACATCAGAATGATATCACTCCAGAACTGTTTTTGCTTTTAACTGAATAGTTATAAATATGAGAGCATTACAATTTGCAAATAATGACTAATTTTATTTATTCAACCATAGGCTAATGTTCTTAAGAACATGGCATATGTAATTGTTTATTAAAGGTTGTACTTAGACAGAAATATTAGTATTATAACATTAAAGGAATCCTTATATACATTGGACAATATATACAAATTATTTTCAAAACTCACCTAGGACCAATTTCTATTAAAAGCTGACTGTTATCATTACTTTTGAAGATAGTTTCATTTCTAACAGCTTGAGGCTGTAGTGGTGAACTCAACAGCCATTTTAACACTTTGATCTGATTTATATTGAGATATTCACAGCCTTCAGCCAGCTCTACATGGTAACACAGCTCAGTAGACAAATCTTTTATATCACTATCCACAAACTTCAGTTTTTGTAAAATTTCATTTGTTTTATGTAAACTAAATGCTTCGGTAGAAAAGAATCGTACGATAGACATCTTTAATTACTCAACATAAATATTACTGACAGAACATATGTAAGCAACTAACTACAAATATATTATAAATGCAAACATATCACTCTACCATTATAATGATTGTGTCAAAGTTCAAATTACACCAGAGATATGTATCAATTTTCTGAAACAAATAAAGACATTTGGCTTATGTAATGTACAAATATGTTCTGTAGTGTGTTTTTGTAAGAGTTCAATATTTAAAATTATTTCAGTAAGGTAAAGGTTAACACAAGTCAAGTGTTATCACAGTCATTTATAATTAATGATATGTTCTTATTGACTTATTCTAGATTTTAATATGTCCCACATATACATGTACTTAATGAGTATTGATTGCTGAGCCTCTATTATGAATTATTTCAATATTGCTCAGGGTTAACACAGGCCAAGTACATAGATATCACAGAGCTAAGTAATAAACAAAGTCAAACAATAGTTTTCATAAACATGTGCTATTTCAGGGCTTTAAAGATTTATCTAACATACAGTAAAATGCAATGTATTAATGTAAAAATATATTATTCGACTTCACACCATACAGGACACGAATTATTCCAAATATTTTTATTTATAAGCACAGAAACACAATTTAATGCGGGAAAATTATATGTTTATTGAAATAATAATGATTTACCCTCTTGTTAATTGAAAATATAATTATACTTCAAATACATAACAATTTGGAATCTTAATAACTCCATGGAATTTTTAAAAAACCTTCTCTTGTGTTTATTTCGAACTTTCAGATTGCTACAGTACGTATATAGGTACTAACGTATGGTACCGATAAAACGGGGTGATTAGGGACAAACCCCAATTTGATGAAGAATTCTAAGGTACTTGTTGATGTTAATGCTATATCAGGATCAAAATGATTGTGTCTTGGTTTTATCTTTGTTATCCAATTTAAAACTAAGCAATTAGTATTCCAATTTAAGCAGAAAAAGCAAAAATTCGTGATATCTATCCCTATTCACATGGAAATTGGGTTAATGGGGACGAAATTAATGACAATAGAGAAATTTGCTAGGGCTGGCCCTACTTGGTTTTAATTTATTTATTAAGCTGCACCAACAAAGTGATCATTTCACAAATATATATTTATCTGGGTTAAGAGATTAAGTGTGTCGGTTATTTCATGGATTAATTTGTATAGAAATGTACCGTCCAATAGTTTTCTCCGGTTAAGAAGAGAGTCTAGATTAAAGCGGCGAAGTATATCTCCATAGTTGAATAACTTCCTACCCAGATTGTAGTTGTGAGACAAGTTCCAAAGAAACCGTTTCTGGACACTTTCCAATTGCTTATTGTATATCTCATACTAAGGACTCCACACAATGCAGCAATATTCTAAGGTACTGCGTACGAGAGAATTATAAATTGAGAGCATTACCTATCAATTGAAATTAATATTAAATTTCCGATATTCTGAATAAAATTAAAACTAATAAAAAAAATTTTTTTATGCCAATTCAATCTAAATATCCCTTTATTATTACGCGTAAGTCATAAGAATCAAATGGATACCTCCACTCTGAACAAATATCAATAAATTTTATTACGTATTTTTCTGCTTCTTCACTTAGACATTTTTGTCCACCTTGAGATTTCATTACTCTTGTTACATGTCTGTGCAAAACTGACTTAATTATATTAAATTGATTAGCTATTTCCTCCTCCTTGCGTCGATCATCCTCAATGCTGAGGGTCGTGGCCTCCTCTAACAACTTTCTTCTGTATTATCCTGCGCCATTCCTGCCTATCCTCGGCCGTGTGGATAGCAACGTGGACTGAAGTATTAAGAGTGGAGCGTATCTGGTCCGCCCAACAGTAGTGCAATAAGCATCTAAGCAATAAAAAAAAAATAAAAAAAAATAGCAGTCCAACGGCATTGCTTTTGGAAGAGATTTAATTCTTCGAGGCCGCTGAAGCCTTGTTTGGGTCAAGCTATTTAACCGCCGCCCCAGATTTGACGTTGACGGTTTTACGATGGAAAGGTCGAATTCCAACCCAACCCTCCTCTCTTCTTATCCGGGCTTGGGACCGGCATCGGCAGAGTTAAGTAGTTAAGATAAGTAGCTATTTCAACTAAAGACTTATTCCCAATTTCATATGCTTCTATTGCTGTTTTTAATATTAAGGGATCATATATTTTATAAGGCTTTGCACTCTTTGATGTGTACAGGCGAGGGATATTGAAAAATAGAAAACAATACGTAACTGATAATATAAATATTTGCCAAACAATAAAATAACACTGCATTAATAATTAAATAAAAGTTCTAGACAAAAAAATAATGAATAAACCAGATTCTTACCAACATAATATTTAAAAAATACTGTTTAAATACATAGACAGCCCTACAAACATGTACCTATTTGTATTTAAGTAGTTCCTGTACAACTTATTTTCATCCCAATTGACCCCTCTTTCGTTGTTATTTATATCTGAGACGTCCCCATTTTTCCCAAAATCAGCAGATTTTTACATGTATTTCTCTATATTATCAAAAAACATTAAAACTAATAATAACTGAGACTTACCTTTAATATATATGATGGCTCAAACACTAAATTACCTATATAAATTACAGTCGTCTTCTATTATTGCCAAATAAATAAAAGAGAGCAAAGTTTCCAACACTAAAATAATTACCACCACAAGAAGTTGCTTTGTGAACTTTCAACATTCTACTCTAATTCTGGTTTTTCTGGAAGATTTTCTGGTTTTTTCCCCATTCACCTATTAATCCGTAATCACCCCGTCTTATGCCGGCCACTGACATGCGCGCAAGTATTCGTACATTGTACGAATGTTTGCACGCATGTGAAGGGCCGTCAAACATTCATTCGCAAACCTAGCGGCTGTGCAAATAGGTTCGCATACTCAATTTGCGAACCCGTTTGCGCTTCCTCCTACACTTGTTTACGAATGTCTCACGAATGTCTCCTCCTTTTTAATTCGTCAATAGAACATTGAAGAGAAAAAGAGTTTTGAATTCTTTCCCAGAATTCATAACAGCCATGCTGTTTTTATGGGATTTCTTTTGATGAAGATACGCTACACAGTAGACGTCACGAACTATGAAAATGGCGATACGTCCGTTAGCTTCGCAATCGTCGGCGCAACTGGGCAAACGAATGTGTGGGGAATTGCTCGCACAACACAATCGAGGAGCTTCAGTTTTATACTTAAATGCTTTGAAATATTGGCACACAACATTGATTGGTCTAATAGCAACGGTTTCTTGTGAACTGTGAAATTCAGTTTTTTTTCATCCTCTTTGACGATATTTGCAGCACGCATTCTGTTAATGCTATGTAAACGGTTACATTAGAAAATCATTATAAAATTTAATATGGCGATTAAGTTTTCTTAGCTTTTCTAGTTTCAGCGCAATTTTATTATTATTTTCTTTCTTATGAACCTTCTCCTGGCAGTAACAAATACAACCAAAAAATAATTAGCGCAATCGGTCCAGCCGTTCGCGCGTGATGTCGTGACCAAGGGAAATAGGGATTCATTTTTATATAATAATATATATATATATATATATATGTTTGCCGCAAGGGCGTTGTTCCAACTGCTAAATTTGAGTTAATTTTTACGTTATGAAGAAGGTTAAAAACTCGTACTAAGCATAACCGTATACAGCTGCCGTCACTCTAAGCTAGTCAAAACACGTCTTTTCGGATTCTCGCAATCCACTATCGGTGCTTTTAGATACTATACCTAAAGCATCGGTCACCATTCTCGACGAATCCGTTTCGACGAATGGTTCTGCGAGAAAATTAACCCAGACACAGCCCACTGAGTTTCTCGTAGGATTTTCTCAGTGGGTCGCGTATTCGATCTAATGGTAGATTCTGCGAAGTACTGCTCTTGCTACGGTTAGTGTTAGCAAATTCTTTCAGGTTTTGCTCGTGAAGTCACCTACCCGTCTGGACGTAGCTGAAATAGCCCCTTAGATTAAGAGGCTATTTTAGCCCTACTAGTCTAAGGAAAAAAAAAGTACTTCTAAGAATCAAAAAACGAACTTCAGTAACATTTTTTATTGAAACACCATTTAAAAACCTTTGAACAAGGATTTATTAATAATAATTAAAATGCTCTCATGCTACCCATTTCCTTTTTTGAAGTCGATTCCTCGTTCGCTTTGGCATCATCTGGTAGTAAAGGCTCCATTTGGATGTTGAGATCCTTTATAGCATCATCTAGGATTGTTATTTTACCGCTTGTAAGTCCGGAGCACTGCTCTTGGTAGGGCTAGTGTTAAATAATTCATCCGATTAGAGCCCCGTGAGCTCACCTACTCGCAGGGTGAAGCTGGCATAGCTCCTCGAGGCTACCAGCATAGGTACGAAAAAAAGGCTTAAAGGTCTCGTTATCGGACCGTAAATTATTTAAAGAAAAATGCTGTACGTAATGGCGAACAAATGTGAATTTAGCAATGGCGACGGCATAGTTGTACAATAACTGCGTAGCTGATTTATTTTATATTGGTAATTCTATTACTTGAGTATTTTGTATTTTTAAAACATGCTTTTAACATTACACTTTTAATTAATCATTGCATATTGTTTTCTTTAGTGTGTAACCAATTTGACTTATCATTGGCGTCCTCACGCCTAACAACGGGGCCTTATAACCCCACAAATTTACACCGGAAGAAGTATTGATTTCTCCGTTAGCAAGATGATGATGTATACGGTAAGTAAAAGTGTTAAATTATAGTAATCACCAATTTAGATTTCAAATTTATATGTTTAAAATTAGAAGTTAACAAACTTCTAGGAGGTACTTCGTAGATTGGTCAATAGAATAGAGACATATTGTGAGTTAATATGTTAGTAGCGTGTAATTTTTGGTTATCAGCGGTTAACAAATTAACAAACCAGCTCAAGGGTTTGGTGCAAATCTACTGATATTGCACATGACATAGGTTTAATTTTCAACTACTTGATTTGAAAAATCGTGACCGCCATTTATGGAATCTATGCGACTACATATCTAATGGTACATTAATTAGGTACCTACTTTAATGAAATTTGTTTCAATTATAACCTTAAAGCTACAAACTATTTTAAGTCCATGTAGTTTTTTGCCGAAAAACAAACTATGTGGATATGTAAAGTTTGCGGAAAACATCGATAGTTACCAAATATCGGTAAAAAATACAATGTGCTCAAAATTGTTAAATCTTTTCAATTGTCTTTGAAACGAAACATTTTGCAGCTTTAACTGGCATTATACTTTATCAGTGGTATAATGTCTCTTTAGTATTTTACAGTAGTCGTTTTCTAGAGATATGCTGAAAATTGTAACAAATAAACAAACAAAATTCTATTAATATTTGTGCAGGGAACTAGTACAGAGCAGGACACCCGCTTCAGTGACAAGGAGAAGAAGCTGATGAAGCAAATGAAGTTTGGAGATTGCCTCACTCAGCAGGTTCGATAACTTGAGCATTCTTATACAATATTCTAAAAAACTGAGTTATTTATGCCTAATGACCCTAACTACATCCTTTTAAAATACATTTTCTTTCTAAAATAATTGTATAGCCCTTTCTAGGTTTTAGAATGCCAAATATACATTTTTACATTTTAATTAAAAGATTCATCTAACATAAGTAATTCTGGTATCAACTTAGCACTATGCACTAGTATTTTGCGGCTAGATAGTTTTAAATAAATCTTACATTGAGATTGAAGGTGTATAAAGGTAATTATTGCAATAAAATAGACTTCATGCATGGTTATTTTAGGAGATACCAGTTAAACTGTGTGTACACATAAGGGTTGGTTTAACTGCCTATCTATAGCAATAAAAGAGACATTCATATAGTATATAGGAAGTAATTTTTAGGTTGACATGTCAAAAGTGAAGCTCGACGTGCTGAAGCCGTGGATCACTCAAAAGATAACAGAAATTCTAAACATGGAAGATGATGTTGTCATTGAATATGTCACCAACCAGCTTGAAGAAAAGGTGAGTAACCTATTGTGTTTCTGGTTTACTGTTTTATACATGTCAATAGGAAAATGTAATCATTGCAGTTTCTTTTTATGGAATGCATATAGATATATTCATCTTTGAAAATATCATAGTCATCTTCAATAATTTCAAATAAAAGAAACTGCAATTGAAAAATAAATGTCATATGTAATTGATTGCGTATGGATATTTTTATGGTCCCCATCGGTTAGCGCGCCGTCGAAGTCATCCCCGCAAGGTGCTGCCAGCTCCCCGACGCTGCCTGCTAGCTACGCTCTTTCGGAGGCCCTTAGCATATCTGCGGTATTTACGGGGAAAATTAAATAATTACAAGATAACTCATAATTAAATGAAGAAGAGTTTTCAGAAAAGGAAAATAACTAAAATACATAATTAGAGTATTAGTTCCCCAAAGCCATTAAGAGGTGATTTGACTCAGTGCAAGGAAGTTTTGTCGTTAGGCTTTGCGTTCAGCATAATGTGGTTGTTATCGCAACACCCTTACAGATGCAAGTTTTGAAGAGGGCGAGTGTGCGGTGAGTGTTGGCGCGGGGCGTCATATGCAGAGCATCACATCGGTCTACAACTTCGCTGCGCCCTCATCATCTCTGCATCGTCGCCACTCGACACGCTATGAAGACTTCTAAAAAACATGAAACATTTCATATTATGTATATTCATGTTGCTTCCTTACCTGAGTCATATCTGTTACACTTATTTGCATATTTATAAGTTTAAACTCTTAATGGCTTTAGTATCTTATTCCAGATATACCCATTAAAAAAAATCGTTTTAAACACATCATGAAGTGAAAGAATCTTGAACATTAAAATGATGATGAATTATACTGAGTACAACATGGTACAAATCCTGCCCAGTAATCGACGTCGTCGTTATGTACATCGGGGTTTAGGTGTTTGCGATTTTAATACGATTTTTTTCTTTTCCTGATCCCATCTATGTCGGATCCTAGTTCCCATGCCCAAAGAAAATGCAGATCAACTTGACTGGATTCCTAAATGGAAAGAACGCACGCCTTTTCATGGGAGAGTTATGGGAGCTGTTGCTGAGCGCGCAGGCCAGTGAAAACGGTATACCCGAATCATTTACTCAGCAGAAGAAAGAAGAAATAAAGAAGAGAATGGTATGCATTAACTTCAATATTGACTAACATTGAAGTAGCAAATTTCATAAATTTTATTAATTGTCCCATATAGTAAATATTTATTTGAGCATATAATCCAATACAGACAGTCATGTACTTTTGGATGATCAAAATGTATAATATCCCACCACTTTACCATTATGAGAATAAGTAAGAAAATTAATACTTTGGTTGTAAAATGAAAACACATTACGTGAAATAGGAGGAGCAGCAGAACAAGGACAAAGACAAGGAGCGACGGAGATCGAGGTCCCGGTCGCGTTCCCGGCGCCGCTCTCGCGACCGACGGCGCTCCCGAACTCGTTCTCGTGATCGTTCCAGTGACAGAAAGTTAGTAGTAGACATATATTTTCCAGGTAGCAGCATCCATTGCTGGTGGTAGTAGGGGTGGATTGCACATGGATACTTAATACTATGCTGCCCATTTAATAATACAAAACAATAGTGTGCTTAGTTGAATAGCGGATCCTCTGAAATTAAACGCTTAAAATCATTAACAGAGTAACAGTCGCCGTTTATCACTATGCCCACATAGTGATAAGCAGTAAGCATTTGGAATATATTTTTGAGAATGTAAAGGTTGTCTGTCATACATATATTAAATTAGTAAAATTCGAGTTAGTCTATTCATCGAGTAAAATAGAATATAAAAGGGGTTACTACTGAAGAGCAGTAGAATCACCATGTGACTATTTTCTGTTCGTTGTGCACATTCGGAATTACATTTATTTATCGCCAGTCAACTGATTAATTAGGAGTAGTAGTGGTATATATTGTTTTATTAAAATTGCGTCTTGCTAATTAGTTACGATAATTACAAAAAATTTTTAAATTGTGTTCTTGTACTGTTAATTGTTAAATAGCAAAATATATTCGTATGTATAATTTAATAAGAAAAAAAACTCTGTCAAAGTCAAAATTTTAGTTTTAACCTGGGAAATGGTTAAAGAGCTACCATTGATCTCATTGCTGAGTATGAGTCACCACCCCCAACGTGGTACAAAATCGTCGCCCAAAACACGTCATGACGGATCATCCCGTTCTACTAACGGAGCTTTTAGGTACTTCAAGCACCTGTCATCCTCTAACCCGTCGCTTGCGACGAAGGGCTCGGCGAGTAAATTAACCCATAGACACAGCTCACTGGGTTTCTCGCCGGATCTTCTCAGCGGGTCGCGTTTCCAATCCGGTGATAGTTTCTGCGAAGCACTGCTCTTACTAGGGTTAGGTTTGAGACCCCGTGAGCTCACCTACTTGTTAAGTTTACGCTGGTCTCTGAAGGTCATCAGCTTAGACAGGAAAAAAAAGGTACGAAATGTGGAGCGTGTAGCTGAGGATGATAGCTAGTTAGATATAAGATAATGACCATTAAAATTACTCTAGGCATCGTAACGGCGGAAGTCCGCGTCGATCGAGACGGCGCAGCAGCCCGATCAGAGACAAGGTCAGCCCTGCGAAAACTGAACCGGAAACCAAAGGTACTGTTAATGTAGACGTAAATAAAAATACAATGATAGTGATAATGTTAACTTTATAATAAAATTGTTGGTGTGTTGTTTTCACTTAAATATGGTTGTATTGTAAGATTTTGCTTCTGTTATCGTTGCAAAGTAAAATGTCTACATTATCTTTTGTTAACTGGTTATGGGGCGTATTGTAAGCCCGCACGGGTAGATACCACCATTCGGTGTATTTGTGCGGCAAACTAGTCCTGCGTTTCAGTTTGATGTTATACAATGCAATTACTCGTGGCGACTCATATTTACTGTGTTCATATATTATAACGAAATTGTATATTATAACAAAATTGAGACTTACCCTTATGTCTCAGAGTAAGTGGTGGCATTCACGTTCTGATGTCTACGAACTCTGGTACACGTTTTATTAACCCATTTATACAGTTAATAAATAGTGAAATCTCATTAAACGAAAACGTGATTCGCGACAATCATTTTATGATATTGCTTGCATTGGGTCGCTAAAAAGTTTTACTGTATACCCCCATCCTTGTTATACGAGTAGTTTTCACTTCTATGTTAAGCTTTTAATTATGGCAAGGAATAGACACTATAGTAGAATTATTTTGTCCGTGCAGTTTGGGTTATAAAACATAGCCCGGCTAGGGCGGTGAGCATGTAGCGCGGCGCAACGCCATTATCGATAAAAGCAAATGAGTCATCGAAGGCAGGTACACGGCGGCGGGGTGGTATACGAAGGGTGGTGAGACATGGTTATGTTAAGAGTCATTTGTACTTACCTGCAAATTATAGTACATTATGTCGAAGAGAAATGTGTTTTTTGTGCATTCGTTCTCGGAATTTCTTGAATGACACAATGGCTACTCCTTTGTTTTGTATCAAAACGGCAGAATTTATTCAAAATAATATTTGAACGTGTTGTTATCAACAATGTGTTAAAGATTTTCACTGAAATAAGAATAGATCCCGAAAAGTTACAAAGTGTTAATTTCTGCCGTTTTCGTTAACTTGCTGCTCGGATATGTGGTGTAAGTGTTCGATTAGTGATTTTTTCTTTCATTTTTGTCACTAACCCACAAAATGACAAAACTAAATACACGATCGATAACGCTTATCGACAACAATAATGCGCATCACTATGCCCGTCCATAAGGCTCGTGAGTGGAAGAGAGAGCGAAATATTCGCTTCACCGCTCCGACTTTTTATGACCCAAACTGCACGGACAAAATAATTCTACTATAGGATGTATACAACAACTAGTGGTTTGATGTCTGACATGAAATAATTTTTTTCGTTAATAAACATTCCCCATTTACATTCAGCCTTGCAACTGTTGTGTGATTCTACTCAATTAATGTTAAAATAATAATAATTTTAGCTCCAAGTGTAGCAGAGAACGGTAAGTCACCAGAAAAGAATGAAGAAGAGGTTAAAGAAGAACCAGTTCAGAATAATTCTCCAACTGTCAATGAACCTGTCAATGATGAAAACAAGGAACCAACCATAACACAGAACGTTGAAGAGAAATCTGAAGTTGAAGGTCAGAAATCTAGATCTGTGTCACCTGCTAAGTAAGTTTACCTGTCAAAAATTTCATATACTATAATCATACATTAATATCAAAACTCAACACAAATATGGTGTCAGTTCATACTATTATTGCTTATTTATGCTGCAAACATTCTCGCTTACTTGATAGAAGCATAGAGTGGCCATCAATAATGAAGAAATTGAAATTACATACTTATTTTTGTTGCACTAGCTAGCTGGCTAGACTTGATGCATTTACTGTTAACTCTGATGGTTACTCACCTAATAGTGCATGGAAATGAGCAACGCCAGGGGTAAAATAAAAAATCTTTGCCTCTTAACTTCTTTCGATCATAATTTGATGTATATGTCATAAGCACCCGGGAAACTCTATGAAGGGGAGCTCATTCCAGAATAAGATGGGGCATGGGGAAAATAATCTGAGGTGGATAATGAGCTTGTTAATCTAAGCTACAAAAAACGTATCTACCGTAGGCTACATAGATACTAGATCCGTTTTACTACATATTTGTAAAGCATCAGTGTTCAGTTTTTCGGTTTACTTGTCGACTACTTATCATAAATTTTACGCTATATGTATATGTGTGTGTGCGCAGCTAATTATTTTTTAATATAAGGTCAACGGACGAGAAAGAAAAAACCAATGACGAGAAACCTGCTGATAAGTCGCGCCGATCATCTAGCGAAAGACGCTCGTCTTCAGCTTCATCCCGTAAGTACATTCATTTGAACCTATTTGTTTATACATTTCTTTGATTGTATTTTACTTAGTAAGCGTAATAATTCAGGAATTATTCAAAATTACTTCAGATGTTCAGAATTCTATTTCAAATTTCAATATATTTTATTTCTTCTACTTGCAATGGTAGCTTCCACATCTCCTATGATATACATTTCTTATACACTTGTTTTTCAGAGATTAACTAATTTTATTTCATTAAATCTGTGTAATAAGTAAAAGCCAACAACTAAAGCGATTATTTATAACAAATAAAGCGGTTATTAGATGATATAATGATTATAGCATCAATACCGCTCTTCTCATAATTCCCGACTTAAAAAAAAGTGATACGCTATGTGACGTCGTGTTTCTGCTGCAAAGCAAAACGGAATGTAAGCGGTTGGGAAATTTAGTGGTAGGGCAGCGCTTGTGTTGTCATAAACTTATTCTGTCCGAAGGTGAGGCCTCGACCGATTTAACTATACCTGAACTAAACATACCACTGATGTGTACAGGTTCCAATGGCCGTTAGCTTAGCCTTCTGGTTTTTTTTTAATTGGATTATAATTGGAGATGGCATAATTTAATTTAATTTAAAGGATTGTATTTTTTTTAAACTCAATGCTTAAGATAGGTTATTATTAATTTATTTTAAAACAATGAAGTCAATGATTTTCTTTTTAAATTTAACGAACGCAATCGTGATTTGCGCCTAATGTTGTTAAACTGAAATTAAAAAGGTCAAATTTGATCGATTTTTTTGCGGTAATTAATAAATTTCAGAAAATTTAAATTATTCCATTTGGTTTACAGTAAAATAATGAGTACACTTTTATGATTATTAGGTGGCAGTGTGAAGAAGAGATCGTCACATAAAAAACGACAATACCGTTCGAATCGTGATTCTTCTACAAGTGTTAGCCCTAGGCGCAGCTCCCGAAGAGAAAGGTAACATTATTCACTAATGTAACTAAATCTAATTAAAATCTAACTAAATGTAACACCGTATTTATGTGATGTATTCAATAGCAGCCACTTATGCAAAGGTTTACGACAACTTATATACATTACACCAAACTAAAATTAAACTAAGCCTGATTATTTAATATAAAATACTTTGATGTTAAGGAATGGACTTGAAAGAAATTATTCTATTTGAATAAACTTTTTTTTTTCTATTTACACATGTATTGTCTATCTATGAAAATTTCGTACCTGGGCTTTAAAATCGATTCATAAGTATTGAACTTTAATTTTTTTTGTAGGAGTAAATCTCGCCGTAGGAGCAGCCGACGTAGGTCGTTAGATCGTCGTGAGAGGGAAAGAGAACGGGAGAGAGAAAGAGAACGCGAACGTGAAAGAGAGCGACGACGCCGTGAACGAGAACGGCGTGAGAGGTATAGATTTTTTTATAATTACTAGTGTTTATTTAATGATCTGAAATCTACAATAATTACAACATCTGAAGATTTAGATTTAGAAGAATTATATTTGTATATATATTTTACTTTTGTTACTGAATTTTTGAAAAACAAGAAACTACGTTTTTCCATTTCCTTATTGATAACAAATATCTTAAGAAAAAAAATTACCATATGATGGACAATATATTCTAATATTTAAATAAATGAAACAATGTAAACAGATTTCAATATTATTATTATTTGTATTTTGTTTATATTTATTTATTTAGTATTTTTTTTATAAAATTTCTTATTAATTAATAAGATAACAATCTTTTATGGAGTTCTTGTTGGGTCCTTATTTTATACCTGATGATACTACATTTCGATTAATGCCATAATTGCCACATAGAACCTTTATATCATGACTACTTAGATTTACATAGTTTTAGCCCAACTTCATGAAACGTTTTACGAATGGTACAAACCCATATTAGTCTCCTAATTTCTAGTGAAAACTAGGCAGTGGGCTGTGAGAAGTTGTTGTTCAATTTTAACGACCCTATTAGTAATCGACGGTCCACACATTTTGTTGCGTTTGTTCCTGCACCTGTGATCTGTTATCAAACAATCGTTCAATAATGTAGTACTCAGATTGTGAAAATTTCACGAAACTAGAGATTTCTACTGGTACCTCGCACATGCTGAAGCTGCAACTGCACACTTAGTTCTAGTCTAAGTTCGTTTATTTTAGGCATTTTACAATTAACATAAGAAATAAAAATGCAAGAGAATAACAAACACCAGTCAACTACTAAACCACCCACCACCAAACAAAATAATAGGGTATTTTTTATACTGTTTTTTAAGGGATTTTATGACCTGGTACCTAAGACGTTTATGTCTTATTTTAATATATATATTGTTATTTTTTATGAAAAATGATAATATGGAATGAAATGAAATGAAGATAATCAACTGAGATGAAATAAAATGAGATGGATGAAATATACTCTCAGTAAAATGGTGTTCATTTATTGAGATTTTTTCAGTTGACTTTTTGGGAGGATCCCGAGAAGTTACGTCCAGCGGCTTTGTTTCATTTTCCCACATTTGTGCACTTTCAAAGATATTAAACAGTTAATAATAAACCACCGTTATTACACATTTAAACCTGAAGAAACACTAAATAGACAAAATAGAACAAATCACAAAACTTAACTCCTCGCATATCCGCCAAAAAGTCTTTATACTGATTAATTACAACTAAATGTTGCAAATACAGAATATGTTTTGCTGAAAATTCAGGATATATAAACTAATTTTAAGTAATATATCTGTGAGGATACAATTGCTTTGATTAAATGATGAATTTTCATTTGAAATATTTTCTGTATAGGTAGTTAGTACTTGCTTATTGATTAGGGCAGAATAAATTAGATAGTTTTAGTTATAAATGCAGCTGCTTTATACCTATATTTAAAAATTCAATAGTTTTTTACAATAAAAGATTCATTCATAATACATTGTTTTTTTTATGTTTGTGATAAAATTGCACCTAAAGGGTATTTATATAATGATTTCTAAATTAATGTAGGTCGAGAGAACGTCGACGATCGCTTGAAAGACGCAGACGGTCGCGTTCACGCTCTCGACGACGTTCAAGAGACAGGTATAATTTACTTTGAATATGTTTTCATCACAAGCATTCGCTTTAAAATTGATTTTACAATAACCTTACACAGTGCTACCAATAACATTTTAAGTTTCTATTTATAAATAACAATAAAAAAGGATGAGTCTAAATGAAATATCCATCAATGTAACACGCAATTCCTTATGATCAGCATTAAAATTTATGTTCACACGATTTTGATTATTACTAATGTTTGCCCAAGGATTGAAATTTGACCATAGTCACTGAGGCCTCAAAATTTAAATAAGGTATTAAATTTTTGTTGTGTTTTTCATAAACTGTTAATATTAATGTTATATTTAGATTATGAAAGAAGAAAACATATTAAAGATGCAATAATTTGTAAAAAAAACGTGCACTGTTTTTCGATTTCTTAAACGAATGCTGTACTGGTATATGTAAGTAAGCAAAGTAATCGTATCATAAAAGGTATTCATTACATAGATATTAAAACTGAAAATCGGGTAAGAAACGGTTAAACAATTTATTGTGTTTATAAGGCAACCAAATGATTAAAATTAAGACACAAAAAAATAAATAAAAGACAAATAAAGAAATAGTTTATTTGGAAGTGGCGTATGTATGATCAGGCTACACGTCCTATGTTGTAATAAAATACAAAGATACTTCTTCACTAGAACTGACAGTAAAGTTTTCTTATAATTGCAAGTGGGGTCTCAGTTTCGGAAAATAATTTTTAACCACTTAAATAATATAAATCGACATTGATGAATATTTAAATTTATGAAATTTAACCTTTTATTGAAGTGCTTATGTTACAAATGAATTGAAAAACAGTTTTTTTTGTAGCATACGAACCAATGAATGTATTTTGATTAGAAACCGTATTTATATGTAGATAATCTGTTTTAAATTTGTAAGGCATCGTGCTTAACGATTCCGTATGATTAAATGCGAGTACGGAACTATTACAGGTCTCGAGACCGTCGCCGCTCCCGTTCACGTCGCAGGTCGCGGTCGAGGCGTCGCTCGGGACGCAGGTCACGCGACCGACGCTCACGTGATCGCCGCTCCAAAGACCGCCGCTCACGAGATAAGTCCAGGTAAACTATTCCTAATTTTAGTCGCAATACCTTCATTTTAAATTCTAACAAATTACTTGAATGAACTTCCTGTACAGTATCAAAAAAGGTTGCACTAATTTTATTTGCTTTTTATACAGAGAGCGAAAATCGCGCGATCGCTCCAGGAGATCCAGGGACAGGAAATCTCGCGATAGAAGGTCTAGCGATATTATCAAGGAGCGTTTAGAGAAATCTGTCTCGATTCCGAGAAAAGGTAATATATATGTTATTTTAGATATAGCGATAAACCCAAATAACATTTATTACTTAAAATAAGAAATGTTCATAATATATTAATTTAATTCATTTTTTTTATAGAAAATAATGACAAATTACCCAAAAAGCCTGAGCACCTGCCTATTCCGCGTGAGCAATCTAAAGAGCGCATTATATCTAGCACAAGCCGAGAATCATCAGTAGCTGTTGAAAAACCCCCACCAGAACCTTTTAATGACGGAAAAACCCAGTCAGACCACACTGACGACGAAGAGAAAGAAGATATTGTAAATATTCCAAACCTGCGTGAATACTCAAAAAGTCTTTCACGCACTCCATCACCGTTCTTGCGAAGACATGAAATTGACAAAAACAAGAAATCTGATGAAGTTTCGGGAAAAGAGCAGAATGAGGACGAAATAAAAACCAAGGAATCCAAAAGAGCTAAACGTAAAGCCCATCAATCTGATTCTGAAAGTGCGAGTAGCGAGGAGCTATCGAAATCCAAAAGTAAGTCCAAAATCAAGCGTAAGGAGAAAGGTACATCTAAGAGAAATAAGAAACTCAAAAAAGAGAGCTCTTCTAGCGATAGCGATTCTGAGGAATCTTCTTCTAGTGAATCTGAAGAAGATAGGAAGAAGAAAAGCAAAAAGAATGCTAAAAAGAAGTTGGCCAAGAAATCAAGAAAGAAAAGAGCGCGCTCGTCGAGCTCCGACTCCAGTTCGGAAGAAGAAGTTAAACACAAGGCTTCAAAGACAAAACAAAAAAATGTCGTCGACGAATCTGATGTTGATAAGAAGTCTAAAAAACGCGCCAAGGATGCGAGTAGCGAAAGGTCAAGGTCTGAGAAGGTTGAAAACAAGCTCAAGTCCAAAAAAGTCGATTCTGAGGATTCCCAAGATGATAGTTCGGATACTGATGCAAAATCTAAGAAGAAAAACACTAAACGTGATACTTCTAGTTCAGAAAAAGACCCAAAACGCGGTAAAAAAACTGACTCTATTAAGGAAAAAGCCTTATCACCAGAAGTTGCTAAATTAAAGAAAGTAGAGGATAAACCAGCAAAAGTGAAAGTAGACGATGCTAAACCTAAATCTCGTGACGAAAATGAGAAAAAACCTAAAAAGAGGGAAAAGGAAGAGTCCTCTTCTGAAAGTGACCAGGTGTCAAAGAAGAAAGCAAGGAAGAAGGTAACAGACTCAGAGTCAGATTCAGACAGTGATGAACCTAAGAAATCCAAGAAAAATAAGAAACATAAGAAGCATTCTAAAAAGCATAAGAAACACAAGAAGCATAAGAAATCATCAAAGAAAAAAGAGGATTCTTCTGATAGCGATGAAGCCGAGGAAGAAGAGGAAGAAGGAAAAGTTAATAACGAAGATTTGGAGAAGAAACTGAGAGAGAGAGCATTGAAGTCGATGAAGAAACAAACTAGTGTTTCTGGATCCGATTAGTGTTCGTTTTTTTTTCTATTTGACTTCTAAGAAAAATTTCATTGAACGTACAGCATGTTATTAAAATATTTTAATGAATTTGCTGAAACGATTTTAATTAACATATATTTCATATTGTTAGTAATAATAAATAAAATAATACGAATTCGTTTTATTTATTTAATATAATATATGTAAATACATTAGAGCATCTAATTTTTAATCCCAAATTAACTATCCCTTGCACCTAACCTTTGCAAGCCACTTGCGGTAATTTATATTCATATCTCTTTTGACCTTGGTAACATGTCTACCTGATGATATGTAGGCGAAGTAAAATGTCCCTTAGAAATAAGGTGACACTCTACAAAACTTGCATACGCCCCGTCATGACCTATGCAAGTGTTCGCTCACGCGGCCCGCACTCGCTTAAAATCATTCCAAATTATTCAATCCCGTTTTTGCAGGATAGCCGTCGGAGCCCCGTGGTAGCCCCGTGGTTCGTCAGGAACGTCGACCTCCATGACGATTTGGACTTTGAGTCCATCAGTAAGTATCTACAGTCGGCGTCGATGCGCCACTTCGATAAAGCGGCACGACACGAGAACCCTCTCATCGTGGCCGCCGGTAACTACATTCCCGATCCTGCGGACAGAATGGAAAGCAGTCGACGTCGCCCAAAACACGTCATCTCGGATCCTCCCGATCCACTAACGGTGCTTTTAGGTACTTCAAGCACCGGTCACCGTTCTCGTCGAACCCGTCGCTTGCGACGAAGGGCTCGACGAGTAAATTAACTCTCAGACACAGCCCACTGAGTTTCTCGCCGGATCTTCTCAGTGGGTCGCGTTTCCGATCCGGTGGTAGATTCTGCGAAGCACGGCTCTTGCTAGGGTTCGTGTTAGCAACGTCATCAGGTTTGAGCCCCGTGAGCTCACCTACTAAAGTTAGGGTTACGCTGAAATAGCTCCTAGGGCTATCAGCTTAGGTAGGAAAAAAAAAAAAAAAAGGTAACATGATTGGGGGATAAATAAAGACGAAAATACTATCTAATTGTTGTGTTGTGTTTGTACCGTCACCGAACTCGTATTGCTATAAAATTATTTAAACTTTGTAGCCATGTAGTCCCTTGTCCTTGTATTCCTTGATTTATCAGTCCATCAGGATCAAATAGTAGCCATTTATTAAGATTTGTAAAAAAATAGAAACCGTAAATATTGGTTGGTGGCTGCGACGAGACGTGGCGGGAGATGCTCCTATCTCGCTAGGTTACAATCTTGCAGAAGTAGATGGAGGGGCCTGACAGGGTTCTTTTGCGCATCAACTCGTTTCTATCGAGTCATCTATCAAGTCACGATTCTTCCCAATCTTGACTGCATACATTTTTCTCTTCTCTTCCGTATACAGAGTAAATGGCTGATGGAAGGCCCGGCTTATTTGGCCTATAAAGTTCCTCAGGTAGGTAATGAATGACCTAGGTTCGCTTCGGAATTATGAATTTAAAATAGGTAATTTTCAATTGTAATGATGCGATAATAACATCCTAATTCAATCAAATTACATGATTTAAATCTCATATATGACAATGGCGTGATATAGATAAATGAATATAAAATATAAATAAAAATGAAATATACAAAATTCCTCTATATTTAATTTAATAAATATAATTTCCAAAACATAGTTTGCTAATGCTCATATTACAACGCCTTACATTAAAGTCATCGGCCGCATGGTCGTGAGCTCTGCTCTAAGGAATTGAGCATTTAAGATGATTTCATATTTTATACAGTTGCATCTTCCGCCACCGGACTGTATCGTGAGCGTTATTACAGTATTTACGAGAGCGTTCTCTTCACGGACACTTCGGCTTCTTGAGTTCTATGACGTGTCTTTCAAACGAGTGAACAATGTTGGTAACTTGGCTGTGCTTCTGACATTGCTGATGCCCGGTGATGGTGATCGTTCGCTATTAAGTAGGATTATGCTGTTTTTAATTTAATGGTAATAAAGTAAATTATTTACTTGTATGCTTCAACGGATTTACCAAACGGTAACATTAACTCTTCTGTCGGTAGGTTTTTCATGAAGCTTGGACATTCCTTAAATGTAAATTCAATATTGAAAATAATAAATAAATTAAATTATTCGGTACAACGGTTTTTTGGGAAAACTTTGGTAATAATTATTTTACAAATTGAAGGTGTATTTTTATCACTATGAATATCCTCTGTATCCTGTTACCAAACTAGGGGTGATGCCATTGTTATAAATGTTTCCGTAACCAGGTTTCTTGTAGTATCCGTAGCCTAAATGATTAGCTGCTTCATAATAGGGGTTTTTGTAACCGTAGTAAGATGCGAGACCACCATTGCCGCTGTATCCTCCGTAGCCTCCATTACCGACGTTACTGCTGTAACCTGAATATCTGCCGTAGTTATTTCCACTTGGATAATTTTCGAACCCAGTTACGAATCCGTGTCTGTATACGTTGCTAGAACCGTCAGGGTAGTTTCTATCAAAGTTAGAGTAAATGTCTGAAATTAGAATTTTTTTAACAATAAATTATATCTACCATTATATGGTAGTAAATATGCATTTGAAGCAGTTCGTTCGAGAATGTTATGGAAGATAATGTCGGTATAAGTACTTACACCACGCATTGGCTGCAGTTTTAAGATCGTCCGTTTCTTCAAATGTATTTGTTTCGTCTGCGAGAAGGTTTTCATGCAGCGCTGCTTCCGTTTTAAGTGCCGCGAAGGTACATCCGAAAAGGAATATAATTGGAATTTTTAAATTCATCTGGAACAATCATGCCTATTAAGAGACTAATAAAGTATGAAGCATATTTTCAATTTGAGGCGTATAGCACATTCATTATCTCATTTACGGAATCGTAGGAAAGCTGATTTATTACCTAACTAGCGACCCGCCCTCGCTTCGCTTCGGAAACATTAAAACACAAATGAAACCAAAAAAAAAGAAAAAAAAGTAGCCTATGTTCATCAGGGACAATGTCGGCTTCTAATGGAAAAAGAAATTTTCAAATCGGTCCAGTAGTTTCGGAGCCTATTCGACACAAACAAACAAACAAATCTTTCCTCTTTATAATATTAGTATAGAAATAGAAAATATGGCTGCGTGTATATATTTTATTCTTATAGGTAGGTAATTTTCTATTCGGCCATCAAATCTCAAACAGTAACGGCTTGTATGCATCTTTCGCGCGCTAATGGTTTGGTCGGTGGATAATGAGTGATTCATTATCGTATTTCAAGAACAATTTAAATTCTTCAAGACAAGAATTTTGTTTGAATGGTAAGTTTGTACCTAGTACATAATAATAGTATTTTGGTTGAGATAAATTTAAATATGCAGAATTTTCTTTTCCTTCGATAGTCGTCGATAGATCCAAAAGTATATTATATTTAATATACTAGCTTTCCGCTCCTACTTTCAACCGTGTGTACTCGACTTTATATCTCGGAGATCAGCCGTAGGATGAAAGTTTGCTTATATTCTTCTCCAGAGTTCAAATTATACTAAGTTTTGATAATATTGATACAATGGTGTGAGTATTAAAATGTAACAGAGAGACAGTGCTACCTTTTTTTATTGCTTAGATGGGTGGACGGGCTCACAGCCCACCTGGTGTTAAGTGGTTACTGGAGCCCATAGACATCTATAACGTAAATGCGCCTCCCACCTTGTGATATAAGTTCTAAGGTCTCAGTATCAGGTCAGTAGTTACATCTGGCTGAGCCTTTGCTCGCCCACCTATCCTGGTGAAACTGGAAAGGCCTCTGGGCCAACAGTAATCATTCAATCATAAAAAAGTATAGTTACAACGGCTGCCCCACCCTTCAAACCGAAACGCATTACTGCTTCACGGCAGAAATAGGCAGGGCGGTGGTACTTACCCGTGCGGACTCACAAGAGGCCCTACCACCAGTAATTACGCAAATTAAAATTTTTGCGGGTTTTGATTTTTATTACACGATAACATCGTTCCTTCACCGTGAAAGTCAATCGTGAGCATTTCTTAAGTACGTATTTCATTAGAAAAATTGGTACGCGCCTGCGGGGTTCGAACACCGATGCGATGATGTAGCGATCTACATACAGATGCACCGGACGTCTTATCCTTTAGGTCACGACGACTTCGACGACTTTGCTAGGTAACTTGTAACTTTTAACAGCATAAAAGTAAATTCCAATTTACTTTGACTATAGCTTAATTACAACGTCGTATTTTAATGAAACAAAGTAGTTCCGGAGATGTGCGGGTTATTATATTATATATTTCAGGTTTTCCAATTTCTATGTTTATTACCTTTCTTTGATGTTAATGATTGACGTTATAAATGTACACCGGATATTATTGTTTTAATAAATAATTATAATTTGCACTGATGATATTCATATACGAATAAAGAGTGTTAATAAAGTTTTACGGTGTTGTTTATTTTTTAAATCTCTTAACATTTAAAATACTCTGCATATTTGCCCAAATTATGACTCGCCTAAATCTAATTGATGTTAATTAGAAAAAAATATTTGTAGTAGTAACACTTTATAGTAGTACTATATTTTGTCCACACGAAAAAACTTATAGGTGCGGAATAAAGTACCTCAAAAGCGATCATTTTCATTTAATAGTGGTCTTTGTTTGAGTAGGCCAGCTCACGGGGCTCAGCCTGGCGTATTTTCTAACACTAATCCTAGCAAGTACAGTGCTTCGGAGGTTTTAGTTGTCACGTATTTATACTGGTGGTAGGGTGTCGTGTGCGCCCCTACGAGCAGGTACCATCACCCCGCATATTACTATCGTAAAGCAGTAGTGCGGTTTTGTTTACAGGGCGGGGCAGCCCTTGTACTATAAAACTGAGACTTAGAACTCATGTTTCAAGGTAGGTGGCGGTACCTTGTTTATGTCTATAGATTCCGGTAACCACCAACCATCAGGTGAGCCGTGAGTTCAAAAGCTGTCCGTCCATCTTAGGAACAAAAAAAACGGATATTATATGACATACATATTATGAATAAGAGAAAATTGAAAACATGCCAGTACCGTCAAGTTTTGAACTTATCTTTGAACTTAGGTTTGAACTTTGAACTTATTAAGTTCAAAACTTCTTCAGTGTAAAGCACTAATCGCAAAAGAATGAAAGANAGGTGAGCCGTGAGTTCAAAAGCTGTCCGTCCATCTTAGGAACAAAAAAAACGGATATTATATGACATACATATTATGAATAAGAGAAAATTGAAAACATGCCAGTACCGTCAAGTTTTGAACTTATCTTTGAACTTAGGTTTGAACTTTGAACTTATTAAGTTCAAAACTTCTTCAGTGTAAAGCACTAATCGCAAAAGAATGAAAGATTAGGTACTAGGTTTCATAGTGGGTCGTAGTTTCCTGTGAGAAATTGGGGGAGGTGAAGGACCTCGGCCCTTCTTCTCCCCTTCTTCCTCTCAGGAGGCGCCGGAGTCCGACATAACCCGGTCCGTTACCCCCCTCGACCGGGTATCCGTAAATGGATTCCCCAGCGTTAAAAAAAAAAGGTTTCATAATGGGTGTTAGATTGATATTGTTTCAAGATTCTTATCCGTTATACTGGATTTATAATACTTGTTAAACAATACAACATTTAATTATTGTCAGCAAAATCAAAAAAAAAAGTCTAAAATTATTTATAATAATCTCCTAGTTCAAACCTAGTAAACCAGCAAAAAATGTTTTCTCAATTTTTTTATTAAAACTAGGCCAGTAGGATAGCACAGCAATTTGGTTCCCTTTATTATTATTATTTTCGCTTAAAAATACTTTTACTCACATTTATGTTGCAGTTTTGAAAATTGAAGATAATGGTTTATCACAGACACATGTAGTATGTCTTGAGCGGAGATGCGCTCTGCGAGCGAGAACATACGCAAAGACCTTATAAACCGTGGGAGTTTTTGTCTTATAATTGACAATGGTCATTGGGGAGGTAATATGTTCGTTTTTAGTCAGCGTCCTTCTTTAGATGTATGACGCACAATTTTAGTAAGGTAACATAATTGTTATCAAGAGACTACTAATGAGTTTGTGATTCCCACATAAGCCACCATTGTTTATGTAAATTGTATTATTTCCTACATTGAAAATGAGGGTTATTCTTTTTAGTCTCACTGTATTTTTAATCAAATTGCAGGTGATTATAGTTAGGTACTACTACGAACCTACATTGATCGCGTTGATAGCCAACCAAACCAAGCCTTTTGTAGTGAGAAAATCCCTGGTACTACATACATATTATGGGCGTTGATAAAAATGCGCTCTTCACCTTTAACGATTTTTATTTTATTTATGAGAACTCGCTGTATTGACAAAGTAGAAATTGGGGAAGGGTAAGAAAGAACATATCTAGCAAGGCTGAGGTAACAATGACCATCGATCCCTGTAGCGATAAGAAAAATAAAATACCAAATAATTTCTTACAATTACCTACACAGTACAAGTTTCGTTGTGTCCGATTTTTTCGTTAAATGAAGATACATTCATACTGTGGGTGAATACATTTCCACATTACATACACAGCTATGTAAGGTAATCTTTATAATCTTATCACCGTCTGTGTATGAAGTATTACTATATTATAATTATTGTTATATGACAGTATTCCAAACATCATTCCATGTTTATGCTAATCATTAAAAGCACCTTTGACAGCTGCAAGCCCTTTTTTAGAAGATGGTGGTAAATGTAAAATTTATGACATGGGAACATATAATAAGTTCTCAATGTTTTATCCCAATGTTTTTTGATCGTCGAAATAATTGCCTTCCAGGCAGCTCAATCTCCAACCCTCGCAGCCAGGAAGGTCAAATAATCTCCTGAATAACAGCAGTGTCTTCCCGCTTCATATAAATCCTGTCCGTGATCACGATACGCAGGGCTCTTATGTTCTACAAATGAAGTAAACTGTCCCTTCGCAGTAAGGTGGCATTTTACAAAACTAGCATTCGTATGTACGGTGTTCGCTGACACGGTTCATATCTACACAGGCTGCAAAAACAATCCCACACCTGATTTCTTAAGTACTGAGGTATGGCCAGGGACGTCTTAAACTAGGATGGGGCCCTTGGGCACACAAGAATTTGAGACCCTTTTGGAAGGTAAAAAAAGCGAATTATAATAACATTATTTTACTGAGTATGAGACCATTTATTATAGGTAATCAAATTTGCGACTTGGACACGGCGGAGCACACGCTCGTTGCCTGCCCCGCATGGGAGGGGTGGCGCCGTGTCCTTGTCGCAAAAATAGGAAACGACTTGTCGTTGCCGAGTGTTGTGGCATCGATGCTCGGCAACGACGAGTCGTGGAAGGCGATGCTCGACTTCTGCGAGTGCACCATCTCGCAGAAGGAGACGGCGGGGCGCGTGAGAGACGCACAAGCCCGCCGCCGTCGAGCGGGGGCCAGGGAGGCGGATCTCGCCCTAGCCCTGGCCCTCTAAGTGTTTCGGGTCCCCCTCATATGTCGGTCTGGGGCCCGGCGAAGGGGGCCTAAGAAGACGACGTGCAAGCTGCTCTGCACGCGTTTTACGCAAGAGCATCCGGGTGATGGAAGGCCGGCTATCCTCGACCCACGCTGGTTCTGACCCAGCGGGGTATTTCGTAGGATAACCTATTCAAACCGGCGCCATCTAGGCGGGCTTCGGACAGCCTGCCGACCGAGAGGGCTGGTGGTCGTGGCGCCGACGATCGCTGGCCCGGCGTCCCGAGGGGGAGGGTGATGGGAGAGATGTGCTCCGCACTAAACGCTTCACTCTCCTCCCCTTGCCTTTTCATGAGTTCTGTCTCATGCGAGGGTTGGACGTTGGTTGTTGAGCGACAGGAGGTTTTAGTCGGTTCGACTCCGACATGCCCCACCCTCCATCCCCAGTGGAGGGTGGGAGTCCGGCGATTTCCTCCTGACAAAAAAAAAAGGTAATCAAATACAGTATGATTTAATATGTCATTAATGATATTAGAATGCTGCTGNGCAGAGCATACGCTCGTCGCGTGCCCCGTATGGGAGGGGTGGCGCCGTGTCCTCGTCGCAAAAATGGGAAACGACTTGTCGTTGCCGAGTGTTGTGGCATCGATGCTCGGCGACGACGAGTCGTGGAAGGCGATGCTCGACTTCTGCGAGTGCACCATCTTGCAGAAGTAGGCGGCGGGGCGCGTGAGAGACGCACAAGCCCGCCGCCGTCGAGCGGGGGTCAGGGAGGTGGATATCGCCCAAGCCCTGGTCCTCTAAGTGTTTCGGGCCCCCTTCACGTGTCGGCATGGGACCGGCGAGGGAGGCCTAAGAAGACGACGTGCAAGCTGCTCTGCACGCGTTTTACGCAAGAGCGTCCTGGTGATGGAAGGCCGGCTATCCTCGACCATGCTGGTTGTGACCCAGTGGGGTATTCCGTAGGATAATCCATTCTAACCGGCGCCATCTAGGCGGGCTCCGGACAGCCTGCCGACCGAGAGGGCTGGTTAATTGGAATATTAGTAATTTTCAAAACAAATCAATGCTGCTATACTTTATGTAACGAAATCTGTCAACGTAATTTGCTTTAAAAACTTTAGATCATCCGATTAATTTGAACATTTGTACACGTATCAAAGACGAAGACCATATAATATTTAACTTTATTACTTTTTCTTGGGAACTTGGGATGACATGGATAAAAAGTTTTAGTTTGACTCGCTATTAAAGCTTTATGTGTTTCTTTACCTATATTTTTTGCAACATATTTATGTAAATGACTGAAATAATGTTTATAAATACGTACATACATATATATAAATTAATAATAATGTATTAAGTAAAAAATAAACGCGACTTAGGTGATGTGAAAAGAAATATAAATAGTTGTTAATGTCTATGGATAAAATGATACTTTGTCACTGTTGTCGTACCTACGTTGTGACTGCATACCGTAACTTCATAACATTGTGAGGCCACTTGTGAGTTGTGACCCGTGACAGCATATTGCAGTCAAGGTTCTAACCGTTCTTACAACGTTTCAAACTGCAGAAATGATATACAATGTAGATAACAAATGTATTTTGTCAATCATCGATTTTACATCTATCGTTAAAATCAATATCTCGTTCACAGAATAATATAGATTAACCTACTACTTGCAAATATAAGTATGTATGTGATTCGTGTGCACCTTTTTATCCTTTTCTTGAGGTCTCCTTTGATCAACGTTTCGATGAACTATTATTTAAATAAATGTTATATTTTAAACGGGTGCATTAAGAACTATTCCATTTTAAAATTCATTATCTTAAACTATAAATGCTATTTTTATTTTGGGAATAGCGCCACCTATCGTCACGCAATATAACTTTTAAAGAAACAAACAATTTAATACATTTTCGCAAATTTAATGACCATCAGATGGCAGTTCATCTCTTCCCGACGAAATGAAATTTTGAAAGACGTCTTTTTTATTACTCCTGTAGGCAGACGAGCATAATATGGTCCACCTGATGGTGAGTTGTTACTGTCGCTCATGAATAACAGCAATGCCAGGGGCAGAGCCAAGCTGCTGTTTAAAAAGCTACCTGTTTTTGGAATGCCAGAATTGCCCGGAGGCATTGCTACTTATTCAGATCGAGTGGGCTTAGCCGGAAGGGATAGTTTACTAAAAGCTACCTGGCTACCCCCGAAAGAGGCCAGACAGTTCAAGAGTAGCTTCTTAACGCGTTCATCTACCACAGGATCGGAGTCGTAAAAAGATTCGGGGGAAAAGTACTCAGCGGGTTGAGGTTATGGAGCTAGGCTTACACTTCGACAAGTTTGAAGAATTGTGCTTTGGTTGCTGTTGTCATTAGTTTTAGTAGTGACCAACAACGCCAAAAGTGGACTAGAAGGATCCGCGAGGACGTATCTAGGGCTAAACTTTGTCATTCAGTGAAACCATAAAACAGAAACTCATCGCCATCTGCGAGCGATATGAGCCTATTCGCTGGTAGCTTAAGAGGCTATACCGGCTACGCCCGGACGGGTAGGTGAGCTCACGGGCACGTTCACTAGCAAGAGTAGTGCTTCGCAGAATCTACCACCGGATCGGAATCACGACCCACTGAGAAGGTCGGGCGTGAAACACAGTGGGCTGTGTCTATGGGTTAGTTCGCTCGCCGACCTCTTCGTCATAATGGACGAGCTCGACGAAGATGGTGACTGGTGTTTAAGGGTTCTAAAAGCACTGAATCCGAGGGATCCGACAAGACATGTTTCGGGCGACGGCGGCTTTGCGTTGCCCCGTCACGGTCAGATAAGCAATTAGCGGCGGCAGCGATAAGGGGTTTTCGTGTCGCGCCACTTTGTTGAAGTAGCGTTCTGACGATTCCTTATGATACTTACGTATTGGTACTGACTTAAGGTCGTCGTGAAGTCTACATCTCTCACATACCACGGTGCTCCGACTGCTATCTTGCAAAAACGGGATTGGATGTCCTGGAGAGAGTTAATGTGTGTACGGGCCGCGTGAGCAAACACTACACTTGCATAGGTCATGACGGAACGTACGCAAGTTTTGTAGAGTGTCACCTTGTTATGAAGAGCCAATTTACTTCGCTTGCAGATCATGGGGTAGAGTCGACCGAGTAGGAACGCACCTCGGTCGCGTACTGACTTAATGTGGGCCCAAATGTCGTATCCCTCTCGAGAATGACGCGAAGAGTTCGACGTGCAAACTAGTTCAGAACACAACCCACTGAGTGTCTCACCGGACCTTCTCAGTGAGTCGCGATTCCGATCCGGTAGTAGATTGAGCGAAGCGCTGCTCTTGCTAGGGCTAGTGTTAGCAATTCTCTTAGATTGAGCCCGTGAGCTCACCTACCAGTCCGCACGAAGTTGGAATAGCCCCTTAGGTAACCAACGATTAGGTAGGGGAAACAAAATCAGGCCCTTTCCGTGGTTGTAGCTTCGCAATTTCTTCCTTTACTTCTTTAACGGTAAAGGGAGATAACGCGTCCGAAGGTGGCCGGGAAGCTCAGCGCTCGACCTACCTGTCGATTAACTTGGAGTGTTCGGGGTCTACGGTTTGAGCACCGGTGTTGCATTGCTCTTGCAGTGCATCGGCCAGTAACTCTGCCTTCTCATCGTCATCGAAAGTCAGGGTTGGCCTGAGGGGCGTACGAGTGGAGGCATAGTGGCGATAGTTTCCGATTCGAGGGTCCTAGCTAGTCGTCAGTATGCTTGGTGTGACGGCGCGAGTCCCTCTAAATAACTTTCCCAGCTTGTATTTCGGGCTTTGTCTAGGCGAGATTAGACATCCCGCTGTAGACGGCACCTGGGCGTGCACCACTGTCGGGCGCCCACCTTGTGATCGGAGACGTCCATATTGAGATCGGGGTTACCGACCTGGACAGTCGTTGGAAATTCTGCGTTCATGCCTAGCTGTTGAACCAGCACCTAGGCAGTGCTTGCGCTTACGATTATCAAAACCAGTTCATTTTCATAGCAAGTTCAAAATTCGTGTGTTTTTGTGTCTGTTAAGCAGCAACAGAAGGCATCATCAACTTATCAAGATTTTTACCTTGACAATTTTACACAAATGGACAAATATTGTTTTGATGCTAAGTTGCTGCTGCTAGCTCAGCGGTAACTTCAGTGTCATCAGCTCTCACTATCGCCTTCGGTACGTCGTTGTTGATTTTAGTTATCAGGCGACCACGGGGTTCATTTTTTAGATCAAAATTTCCATATCGGAAGCGTTCTAACCAATAACGAGACGTGCGTTCGTTTGTAGGACTCACTCCGTAAAAGTCATTAATGTAATGAGCCGTTTGTGCGGCATTGCTATTGCAATCAAATTCGCATTCCTTAATTACTCGTTTTTGATTGTGTCCATATTGATGAAAAGATACAAATGTAGTGAAATCAAAACACTAAGTGTATGAAGAATTTATATATTCTTTGTTAATATTTCATTTTGTTTTTGTTTGCATGAGTGTACCAGGCTCACCACAAGCCGGGAGAAGTGACGATTGCTCGTAAGGCGAAAGCATCTGCCCACAGCAAAGAATCTGAATAACGCCCACGACCGCTCTACCTAAGCTGAGAGTGCCTTGAGAGGCTACTTCAGCGTAACCTTAATTAGTAGGTCAGCTCACGGGGCTCAAACCTGACGACGTTGCTAACACGAACCCTAGCAAGAGACGTGTTTCGCAGAATCTACAACCGGATCGGAAACGCGAACCACTGAGAAGATCCGGCGAAAAACTCAGTGGGCTGTGTCTGAGGGTTATAAAACTTGCTAGTTAGTACCTACTGGCGCCTACATACTATCAGTAATAGACATTTTTATAATGAAACTTAAAGAATATTATGAAATAAAATACTTGTCTAATTATTAAAAATGTATTTATTTAAGTAGAGTTCAATACTACATAAATTAATAATTGTTCATAAACACAGAAAAGTCCTACTGAACCAAAATTCTAATAAATAAAAACTAAAATTAAAAATTTGTAAAATAAACTAATAAATATTTAGTAGATTCTGTGAAGAAAAAGAAGACGCACATAAATATTTCGAAATTCCGAAATTCTGTACGTCATTTGTAATTTTGAGACCGTCCAAGTTTTATTCGGACAGGCTCAAAATTAGACAGCATCATATTACCGAATGCTAGTGTTTTGTTTCAAGTATTTTTGGATGTGCTGCAATTTGACGTAATGTCCTCTTGGTAGGTTTTATTCTATTTCGAATGAGATCGTTAAGTTCGTCCAGCGATTTAAGTTCTTTAAGCTCTTTGAACGCTCTGGCGCCATTGTGTCGGCCTGCGAATCTGTAGACATCTCGATTGGCCTGACATTGGGCACAATTGTATTGCACCGGTACTGCTTGAGGGAAGTTTTGTTGTGCAGTGTTCATCGCACTCCCATTTCCTGGACAATAGGGAACGAAAACAACAGGTATGAATCCTATAATACCGTACGGAGCATATCCTTGACTCTGTCCATTTGCGGGATGTGAGGATGCTTGCATTTCGTTCGTTGCTGTACCGTTATTTCCAGGATTTAATAAATAGCAGGGACATGATCCTGGACTTGGTACGATAGGCAATGGAAAAGGTATGACATAAATTGGGAAAGGTGGCATTTGAGTTGATGGAACATATGTCGGTGGCTGCACACCAGTTCCCGACGAGACGGAATCGCCTCCTGAAAATAATATTAATGTTAATTCTTATTATATCATATCGTTAATATTGCTTATCAATTCAATTATTTCCTGGCCAGTAACAGCATGCAATAAAAATGTCTTTAAAAGAAAACGAACCTTGTCCTGGTTGTCCCGGGTAGCCTGATTGACTAGGATTTATGGGTTGTCCGCCTTGCCCTGGATATCCTGGTGGACCTGGCTGTCCGGGCTGATCGGGATTGATAGGCTGACCGCCCTGTTGTGGTCCGCCTTGTCCTGGATATCCGGGTTGTCCTGGTGTTCCTGGCTGTCCGGGTTGTCCTGGTGTTCCAGGCTGCCCTGGTGCTCCCGGTTGGCCTGGGTATCCGGGTTGATCAGGTTTAATAGGCTGACCGCCTTGTTGTGGTCCATTTTGTCCTGGATAGCCTGGTTGTCCTGGTGTTCCAGGTTGCCCTGGAGCTCCAGGCTGTCCTGGTGTACCAGGTTGCCCGGGTTTTCCTGGCTGCCCTGGTTGACCCGGCTGTCCTGGCTGCCCTGGATGTCCTGGTTGACTAGGATTTATAGGCTGACCGCCCTGTTGTGGTCCACCTTGTCCTGGGTAACCTGCTTGTCCTGGTGCGCCCGGCTGTCCGGGTTGTCCTGGGTAACCTGGTTGTCCTGGTGCGCCTGGGTGTCCAGGTTGTCCTGGGTGTCCTGCTTGTCCCGGTGTTCCTGGCTGTCCTGGTTGTCCTGGCTGGCTTGGGTATTCGGGTTGACTAGGATTCATAGGCTGACCGCCCTGTTGTGGTTCACCTTGTCCTGGATAGCCAGGTTGTCCTGGTGTACCGGGCTGTCCCGGTTCCCCTGGTGTTCCGGGCTGCCCTGGTTGTCCTGGCTGAACCGGTTGTCCAGGGTAACCTGGTTGTCCTGACTGGCCTGGGTAACCAGGTTGACTAGGATTAATAGGCTGACCGCCCTGTTGTGGTCCACCTTGTCCTGGATAGCCTTGTTGTCCTGGTTGCCCTGGTTGTCCTGGCTGACCCGGTTGCCCTGGGTATCCTGGTTGACCTGGTTGTCCTGGTGTTCCGGGCTGCCCTGGTTGTCCAGGCTGGCCTGGGTGTACCGGCTGAGCAGGCTTTATAGGTTGTCCACCTTGTCCTGGGTAGCCTGGTTGACCTGCTTGTCCTGGGGTTCCGGGCTGCCCTGGTTGTCCTGGCTGACCCGGTTGGCCTGGTGCTCCTGGCTGTCCTGGTTGTCCAGGGTATCCCGGCTGGCCTGGCTGACCTGGGTATCCTGGCTGACCAGGCTTTATAGGCTGTCCACCTTGTCCTGGGTAGCCTGGTTGACCTGGTTGTCCTGGTGTTCCGGGCTGCCCTGGTTGTCCTGGTGTTCCGGGCTGGCCTGGTTGTCCTGGTTGACCTGGTTGTCCTGGGTATCCTGGTTGTCCTGGATGGCTGGGGTATCCAGGTTGACTAGGATTAATGGGCTGACCGCCCTGTTGTTGTCCACCTTGTCCGGGATAGCCTGGTTGTCCTGCTGTACCGGGCTGCCCCGGTTGACCCGGTTGTCCAGGTTGTCCTGGTTGACCTGGTTGTCCTGGGTATCCTTCTTGTCCTGGTTGGCCGGGGTATCCAGGTTGACTAGGATTCATTGGTTGACCGCCCTGTTGTGGTCCACCTTGTCCTGGCTGACCTGGGTATCCTGGCTGACCAGGCTTTATAGGTTGTCCACCTTGTCCTGGGTAGCCTGGTTGACCTGGTTGTCCTGGTGTTCCGGTCTGGCCTGGTTGTCCTGGGTATCCTGGTTGTCCTGGTTGGCCGGGGTATCCAGGTTGACTAGGATTCATGGGTTGACCGCCCTGTTGTGGTCCACCTTGTCCTGGATAGCCTGGTTGTCCTGGCTGTCCTGGTGTACCGGGTTGTCCCGGTTGGCCTGGCTGTCCTGGTGTTCCTGGCTGTCCTGGTTGTCCTGGGTATCCCGGCTGGCCTGGCTGACCTGGGTATCCTGTCTGACCAGGCTTTATAGGCTGTCCACCTTGTCCTGGATAGCCTGGTTGACCTGGTTGTCCTGGTGTTCCGGGCTGCCCTGGTTGTCCTGGTGTTCCTGGCTGTCCTGGTGTTCCTGGCTGTCCTGGTTGTCCTGGGTATCCCGGCTGGCCTGGCTGACCTGGGTATCCTGGCTGACCAGGCTTTATAGGTTGTCCACCTTGTCCTGGATAGCTTGGCTGCCCTGGTGTTCCGGGCTGGCCTGTAGTCCCTGGCTGTCCTGGGTATCCTGGTGTTCCTGGCTGTCCTGCTTGTCCTGGGTATCCCGGCTGGCCTGGCTGACCTGGGTATCCTGGCTGACCAGGCTTTATAGGTTGTCCACCTTGTCCTGGATAGCTTGGCTGCCCTGGTGTTCCGGGCTGGCCTGGAGTCCCTGGCTGTCCCGGTTGACCTGGCTGCCCTGGTGTTCCGGGCTGGCCTGGTGTTCCTGGCTGTCCTGGTTGTCCTGGATATCCTGGTTGACCTGACTGGCCTGGGTATCCAGACTGACCAGGTTTTATCGGTTGTCCACCTTGTCCTGGTTGTCCTGGTGTTCCTGGTTGTCCTGGTGTTCCGGGCTGTCCTGGTTGTCCTGGTGTTCCAGACTGACCTGGTGTTCCGGGTTGACCTGGTGTTCCTGGTTGTCCGGGCTGGCCTGGATATCCAGGTTGTCCTGGTTGACCTGGGTATCCGGGTTGACTAGGATTTATAGGCTGACCTCCCTGTTGTGGTCCACCCTGTCCTGGATATCCGGATTGCCCTGGTTGCCCAGGAGTTCCTGGATAGCCGGGTTGTCCTGGTTGTCCTGGCGTTCCTGGTTGTCCAGGCGTTCCGGGTTGTCCTGGTGTTCCTGGCTGACCTGGTTGTCCCGGGTATCCTGGTTGTCCGGGCTGGCCTGGGTATCCTGGTTGACCAGGATTTATAGGTTGTCCACCTTGTCCTGGATAGCCTGGCTGGCCTGGTGTTCCTGGTTGTCCTGGTGTACCGGGTTGTCCTGGGTATCCTGGTTGTCCTGGATATCCTGGTGTACCAGGCTGTCCTGGCTGTCCAGGGTAGCTTGGTTGATCTGGTTGACCGAAAAAAAAACAATCATTTCCCGTTATTATCGTACTTTAATGAATAATTCCTAAGTCGAAGATTAAGGGGACCACATGTTTGGCTTGAAATTAAATGAATATTTATTTTAAATAAACAGTCTCAAAGAAATGAATGATTTTGTTTTCTACAATTTAAATTTGATTTCGAGGTGCAAGACAAGTATGTCTTAAAGACAAGTCTTGGAGCTCGCAACTTGACTTGTAATTTATTACAGTAATATTGACGTACCTACTAGATATTTACCAGAATTCAATTTTATCACGTATATTTAGTTTCAAACGGTTTCAAAATAAACTGGATAGATATTATTTTGCAGTTACTGGGGATACTAAGCTCTGACTTGAAAGCCACCAACACTTGCCTTCACTCTTATAACCAATCACATTATAATACTAAGCACGCGCTTAGTTCACAAAGCCACTTTAATATTAATTTTGTATATCTAAATAATCTAATATAATAATTCAAAATTTTTATTTTTTACCTGGACCTCCCGGGCCGCCTGGGCCGCCTGGTCCCCCAGGGCCTCCGGGACCACCAAGTCCACCAGGTCCACCAGGAGTGCCTGGGGAGCCGGGTGTACCGGGACTACCGGGCAGTGCAGGATAATATTGACCGCCGTCAGATCCTCCAGGCCCATTTGGACCGTTTGGCCCTCCTGGACCACCTGGTCCACCTGGTCCACCTGGTCCACCTGGACCCCCAGGGCCACCTAAAATAGATTACAAAATATAATATAGAAAATAATATAAAGGTTTGGTATGAAAAAAAAATACTTGTAAAAATACCATGCCTTATGAGTGATTTTATAAGGTGGCTGAAGGACTGTTCTCTGAACGGTTATTTTAAAATCACGTGTACAAATATTAAATGCTTCAAACATACCAAGGGCGTTGTAGGTTTGCGTTTTTAAGAGATTTGGTAACTCTCTTGCTAAGTTGTGAGTATTACTACTTTACCTTCTGGTATATCTAGGGCCGCATATTTATCAAGGTCGAACTCCATCGAAACAGCCTTATTAAAGTTACCAGCTATTTAGGTAATACTATCAAGTAGTTATCAATCATTTATTCATGTCTAGCGGTCTCACTCGAACGTCCGATTATAGCAGAACCCGGGAGAAGTTTGAGGAATAACTTGAGTTTATGAACAACATTTAATAAAAAGGACTTAACCAATTTATAAAGGAGAGCCCAAAAATATATTACCGCTAGTGGCGCTGTCACACAAGCCATCATTAGTTAGGGCTCCAGATTGAGGAAACCAGTGAACGTAATAAGGTTAAAAATAATTCTATGTTTTTTATTAGTCTAAATGTCTTTACATTTATGGGTCTCGGCAACTAATACTCAAGATCTGGCGAGATGTTACTTTTTCTGCTCTCTGTGCTAATCTTGTGAGTCCGCACGGGTAGGTACCACCACCCTGTTTATTTCTGCCGTGAGGCAGTAATGCATTTCGGTTTGAAGGGTGGGGCAGCCGTTGTAACTATACTTGAGACCTTAGAACTTATATCACAAGGTAGGTGACGCATTTACTTCGTAGATGTCTATGGGCTCCAGTAACCACTTAACACCAGGTGGGCTTTGAGCTCATCCACCCATCTAAGCACTAACAAAAAAATAAAAAATAAAATCGAGAGTATAACTCATTACAGCAGCTTGGCTAAATCGAGTAAAAGTAAATGTAATCTTAGTAAGATTAGAGATTTGCATTTAATTATTTTTTTATTAACCTGGTGTTCCGGGTGTGCCTGGAGTGCCGGGGGTTCCAGGACTGCCGGGACTACCTGGATAGTAGCCACCTCCCCCGCCTGAAGGACCAGTCGGTCCCCCTAAGAAAAATCAATGTTGTAGATTCGGATCATCTATGGCTAATTGTCCACTCGCATACTAACATGGAATGCGCATGTTGATTTATTATTTCTTATTTTACTATATTCATTAAAAAAATACTAATTATATGTACAATATTTAAAATAAAGGATGATAGTAAAAATTAAAAAAAAGCGTTAAATAAGCAATATATTGCCGTTGGTGGCGGTGCCTACCACAAAAGCCACCATTGGCTAGGGCTACTGAGTGAAAAACCGCCTCAGAGTAAAGGTCGTAGCAAGGATAATAACTTTCTGTTCTATGCCCTTAGCCCAGCTGGATAACGAAAGTTTCTTAAGGTGTTGGTCGGAACTTTTCGCTATCGCACCGTACACAGACACAACTGTTGGAACAATTATGGTTTTCAATGATTATGGTATTATTTATTATTGCCGTCGTCTCCACCTTGCATACTTTTTCTGTGGACGGACTTTTATGCCGGCCACTCACGTGCGCGCAAATATTCGTACATTGTACGAATGTTTGCGCGCATGTGAAGGGCCGTCAAACATTCATTTGCAAACTTAGCGGCTGTGCAAATGGGTTCGGTACTCAATTTGCGAACCCATTTGCGCTTCCTCCTACACTTGTTTACGAATGTCTCACGAATTTCTCCTCCTTTTTAATTCGTCAATAGAACATTGAAGAGAAAAAGAGTTTTGAATTTTTTCCAGACATCATTAACAGCCATGCTGTTTTTATGGGATTTCTTTTGATGAAGATACGCTACACAGTAGACGTCACGATCTATGAAAATAGCGAAACGTCCGTTGCCTTCGCAATCCTGGGCGCAACTGGTCACACGAATGTGTGGGAGACTACACGAAGGATCGCGGTTCGCGCGCTTTGATGTCTGTTAAAAAACCGACACAGCTTGGAAAACCACGAATGCAGCGAAAACTTTGCATAATCATTTGCAAATGTCGTCCTACACTTGTGGGTTTGCGTATTTGTGCGAATGTGAGTGACCGGTGTTAGAAAAACGTAACCACGCAATCTAATTTGTCTACTGTGATCGTCTCATTTCAAATCAAAACATTACCATTTAAACTTCGTCAATATAATGTGCTTAGTTAAACCAGTTAATCGATCTTACCTGTTCCGTCTTGTCCAGGATAGTATCCACCGCCTGAACCAGGTGTTCCTGGTGTGCCTGGAGAACCAGGAGTACCCGGGCTACCAGGGGATCCAGGGCTGCCAGGCGACCCAGGAGTTCCAGGCGATCCAGGAGTGCCAACCACCTTGCCCTGAGAAGTGTCAGAATAATATCAGAAAGATGTTTGCATTGAATCACTACTTTTTGGTTAGATTGGGTTTGTTTGAATGCAAATATGTATACTAATTATGGATTACTAAAACAGATAAGTAATTTACGTGCAATTCAATTGGTAAATAGATATACAATACGACGATAAGTAAATATGTAATAAAAGGAATAGATAGGAGATACGATACAATTACAACTTGGGTATCTATTTTTTTTTTATTTTTTTATTGCCTTTGTAGGCAGACGAGCATACGGCCCACCTGATGGTGAGTGGGTACCGTCGCCCATGGACTTCAGCAATGCCAAGGGCAGAGCCAAGCCGCTGCCTACCGAAAACGTCCTATCTAAAACGAACGAACCTATCTAAAACGAAATATAAGTTTCATTTACATGATCCGTCGGGTCCGTAGGAACCTTCCGGTTGATAAGATCCGTCTGGACCGTAGGAGCCGTCTGGTCTGTATGAGCCATCTTGACCACCTGGGCCATAAGGACCATTAGGTCCGCCAGTACCGCCGGGTCCGTAAGGTCCATTTGGTCCTCCGGGACCACCAGGTCCGTAAGGTCCATTTGGTCCTCCGGGACCACCAGGGCCGCCGGAGCCGCCGGAGCCGCCAGGACCGTAAGGGCCATTAGGGCCTGAAAATAAAATTAAAAATAGTAAATTTCCTAATAACTAAGCGAAGTTTTACGAAAATCTTAATATTTGTAATTTATTAAATAAGTTCTTCGATCAACAAATTATCGTAGTAATCATGTTTTTGGTGTTTAAATTATTATACTCGTATCCTACATTTTGATAGAAAACGAATAATTAATTAGTATTAATAGCCTTCAATAAAAAACTAATAGTAATGTCAGTAGACAGTAGTCATATTATATGTATGAATTGTATGTACCTTGACCAGGGTATGCGACGCCAGGACTGGGGTTGCTAGTTTGTCCGGTGCTATCTACAGGGGGTTTAGGTTTAGGTTTTGGTTTGAACGGTTGGGGTGGAACTCCGCCAGGAGTGCGACCGCATCCCTGGGGGAAGAATAACTTATTCCACGGAATGGTTTGACCCGTCGCGGATGGCGTGGGTTCGTAACTGAAAAAAAAAGATATAATTTAGTTCCTGCATTAAACAAACTTTTAGTTGACTTAAATTTATAGAAGTAAATAAATTGAATAAAATGTTTCAATCATGGTCTAATCCTCACTATAAATACTACTTGAAGATGATATAGTTAGTATATGTTTACATTTTCAAACGTCAACCGTAACATCTGTCGGTATTTTAAGTTATTTCTTATTTTCATTCTTTAAGCTATTATTATTATTTAAATCGAATCATTCACATACGCTTATTGTGACGACTTGTAAAGTTTGGACAGTTTTTTAAACGTACTTTTCGTCGTATTCGTATTTCTCATCGGGGAAAACTTCGACAGGTTTTTCTGGTTCTACGACTCGGTAGCCGTGGCTGTCGGCAACATAGTGGGTGGCGCGGAGGTAGCCCTCGGTGTCGACGTAACCATAACATCCGTAGACAACACCATCGGGACCACGGTTCTCGTGATGAAACTGTCCGTTTGGGCCGACATCGTATCCGAAACCATACGCACCTGAGAACAAATTTAAAACCATTAACAGCTTTCTTTCTTTTTCTCATCTACTCTAGTGACCTCGAGGGGTCATACTAGATTCACCGGGCGAATAACTCAGTGGACTAAATCAACAGGAAACGTATGTATATAATGAAACTGTATTTATACGAATTGGAGGTGTCGGTCTTACGAAGTTGAACACGATAATAAATAATTTTTGTCCAATTGTGGATATAAAACAATATACACTGTAAATACAAAAAATGTATCAAAATTATGCCTTAACCTTTTCTATCTTGCATCTGGGCTTCAACATTTCCTATTTGAAAATTTAAGCACTGTATTTTTGATTATCATTCTGGAGAATTCATGATAAAAATACTAGTATTGATGTTAAAATGTGATAAATAATTTGCAAGCAGCGTTGGGTACGTTTGAAGTCAAAATACATTCGATTTACAGAATATTAAAATTGAATAAATAAAAATTTGCATAAAAAACAAGACATCAATCATTTAGTGAATTTCGTAAACATTTTAGCATCTTCCCGTTGAATTTACTTAGTGCAAAGAGGTGAAGTACGTTTTTATTTAACACTTTCGTAATAAATCCTGCGAATCCAATACAAGTATTTTTTAAACAACACTGTTAAAGACTACTTTGTTCGATAATATTAATTTTTTAGACTAAAGCGATTTATAATATAAAATAATTAATTTATAAACTAAATAATTTATGTTTGGTAATTTAATTATTCATATTGTTAAATGTATTATAATATGTATGTGTGTAACCTTGATCAGGATGATACTTAACATTCAAATATGTAGAATTATTAATGTATTCGGATTTTGATTGAGAAATAGTTTTGTTGTATCTAACATTATGCCAAAACTAGACGAATATTTTCGATAACACCGCCCTTTGTACTTCGTTCAGTATTCGCTCCGAATTTAATTATTCGCTATCTTTATTAATCTACACTGTGACAGTAAATTTTATTATAATATCTTGATTGTCATTTGGAGAGACGGAAATTACTGAATCTCAGTCACGTTTGAATGTATCTTTCAATAAATAGTATTATTTTATACAACAATGTTAACAGTCTAATAAAAGAAAGTTGATACGCGTCGGGTAGATTGATCTCGTTATGACATCCAGAAATATTATTTATATATAAGAAGTTTCAAAGCCAATAAACTTTTGCCGAACCAACGTACTTACAAATCGGCTGTTAGTTTATGTATGAGAGAGTGACACGAGTAATTCTTAGTCCCGAAAAAACGTAACACGTAACGCGTTTTATTCTTCCTGAATTACTATTATTATGAATTTAGCGCTTCGAAAACCACGGCGCGTATATTAAGCAAAAACTTTTATTTCTTTAACGGACGTGTGTATTTATAATTATTAAGTGTTTTATCTAAGGTGTATATGTGCGTGCGCTAATCGTGATTTGATGTTATTAGGTCAGAAATTAGTTTTGAAATGCTAATAATAAGGGAAAATCAGTGAAATCTTACTATTCAATATTAACGCAAACTTATCAAATCAGTCAAATATTACTATTCAATATTAACGCAAACTTATCAAAGCCCGCTTTATGTCGAGTCCAAAATGAACGAAAAACTAATCAGCATTTAAATTATTTTACGCGAAATCGGCTTTTAAATAAAACTACCTTTTTTGTTTTTTTTTTTGTTTTTTTTTTCGGGCCTGGGCGGAACCTCTTATGTGGTCCCCGCGCCTTGGGGGCGCGCGGGGTATGTGGGACTTGACGATCTGCATAGTGTTGGGAGCAGACCGCGGGCCCAAGGAATTTTAGGGCCCTACCCACTAAACGACTCTCCTGCACTCTTACACCCGACGTCCGATCTCGGTCCAGGGTCAAAACCCGGTCAAAGTAGGGGGGTTCCCGCGGTAAATAAAAGTACTTAGCCTAAGTTGTTTTTATAACATTAACTGTCAGTTAATATTCCGTTAAGTTTGGCATTTATAAGTTTATACGGAACAAACAGAAATAGACAAAAGTACAAAATATTTGTTTTGTTAAAATTTCCGTCTACACTTTCACATGATTAACTGTTTATTTCATATAAACATAGCTTTAGTTTTGTTGGACGGACGGTCGAGCGGCCCCTTCAGTTTTCTTTATTTATTTATTCATTTGTATATTTTAATGCAGATAATTAAAATTTCACAAAATTCTATTTCAGGTCAATGATTGTTTTAATTTAATTAAAATCCAATATAGCAACTGTTTAGAAAGCTTTGGTTCGAAATTTCTGTATGATTACCTAGTATTGTATAAAGTTTCAAACCGATAAACAGCGCTCGAACTCAAAAGTACAAATAAAAAAATACAAAATATATTTTTATGTTTTAGAATTAAAAAGAACATCGGACTTCAAAAAATATATCAGAGATTACATTAAAATCTATATATTAATACGTGAAGGAAAAACTTTGTATCCCTTTTTACGAAAATTGCCCTAACGGAGGAGTATGATATTTCCCACACTTATAGAGAATATAGAGAAGGAGGTCCGAATGCTAATATTTTTTAAATTATGCCTAAAAAAAACATTAAATCAATTAAAAAAAAAACATTACAAACCCTACCATGTATATGACGCACACACGCATGCATACTATTTATTTATTGTCAAACTTTTGTTCTTGACATCTGTGGTCAATTGAGAATAGATTATACATTGTTTGTCTTTATTAATATTTTTCTATAGTGTAGTCTTGGCGAAATTCGTGATTATAGAAGTATAAAAGTCTTTAACAATAGAATCATATTAGTGTACAAACTTATATTTCAATTAATTATAGTCGAATTTCGACTACCAGGGCATCATTAGTATTAGGAGAAATATCAAACATGTTAACTTAATATTAAGTTTACTGGTGGTAGGACCTCTTGTGAGTCTGCACGGGTAGGTACCACCACCCCGCCTATTTCTGCCGTGAAGCAGTAATGCGTTTCGGTTTGAAGGGTGGGGTAGCCGTTGTAAGTATACTGAGACCTTAGAACTTATATCTTAATGTGGGTGGCGCATTTACGTTGTAGATGTCTATGGGCTCCAGTAACCACTTAACATCAGGTGGGCTGTAAGCTCGTCCAACCATCTAAGCAATAAATAAATAAATAAATTACTTGTGTCATAGTTGGTTTCGTAGTACTGCTTCTTTTCGTCGTCCTGAATGTCGACCACCACTTCGTTGTCTTGTTGTCCAGGGTAAGGACTCAACTGCCGTCCTTCACGCGCGGGTTCTACATGGGGCTTCTTTGTTGGCACTTCTGATGCCTTCTTCACGGGCACTTCTGATGCCTTCTTCAAAGGTACTTCGACTGTCTTCTTCGCGGGCACTTCAGTTGCCTTTTTCGCGGCCGTTGAAGTTGTCTCAGTTTTTGGCTTATCGGCGCTAACCAGTGACAATGCTAGCACCGCCTGCGAAAGATAAAGTGATTATTAGACAATAATTGTAGGATTCAAGTTAAACTATTAAGTAAAGTTCACGGTAGTCATATTTGTTCTTATTCTGTCGAACTTAAATGCTAAGTTCAAGTAAATTACCAGTAAATTAATCGTTGATTATGTCACGCAAAACGATTTGGAAGTTACAAAATTTCGTAACGCCATAATTTTCTAATGTAAATTAGCTTTTGGGCTACAAATTCTATGGAGATAATTAAATTGAATTGTCAATTTGAATTTATTAGAATTGTGCATTTTAGTATAATATTTAGTATAATTTCATTCGACGAATTTAATAATTGTTTCAAATCAGTAGTATAGTTATTAAAATGAAATTTTTAATTAGAAATCGTGCATTCAATTTAGTTCAAGCTAAGGATTCCAATAAAAAGTAACATATAATATTTATATATAATAATATTAATATATTACTATGATTAAAACTACATTTACAGTTTGATTTCTCATTTATTATCTGCGATATTTTTGAAAAAAAAATGACGATAGTTAGTGCGACTTTCAAATATCGACGAATATAACACACTTTTTCATTATTTCAAAATTTGTAAAGTATGCGAAATAATAAAACGAAAATAATAAAAGCCAGATGAAACCATAAAACTGATTTTAATTTTCTTTACGACTCGTGAAAACCTAAGATCCTATCTTATAATATGACTATCTGTACAAGGCAATAAATAAGGTCGCAATAAAACAACGTCGATGACATTGATAAATATCTAAATCGGTTAAAAGAAGCGGTTACTCTGCAAACGTTACCGGTTTGTACAGATTCGCCAACGCATTGACATGCTGTACACATGAGTTTAAGACTTTAGCTGTGCGCGCCAAAGTCCGTGACCGTAACCCCCAAACTGTCGCGTTATGTTACAATCTCACGTACCGACAGAGACAAGCATCAGAAGTAAATTGTTTTTTGATCTGGGACATAAACGTGTAAGCATTCAAAAGCCGACGCGAATTTTTAACGGCAAATTTTCAAAGAACAATGAAACTGTCATAGGAGTCGACGGCTTGATCTCGTTTGACAATACTACGAGTATACGTGTCCGCAAATTGTAGTCTTTCGGGACTAAATAAATTGTAAAGTATTTGAAACGTCCGATTATAATAAAATAATAATAAGTGATTGTTTATTAATCTTCTATACACAATCTTGCTCATGTTTTAGCACAATTAAATAGAAATGAAATTGTAATTGAATTTTTTATAAAATCGAAAATTATTTAATCTGCTAATGAAAAAGTACGGGTTCTTGTTTCGACTTTATAATACTTTGGTGCCATTCATAGACTTGTGGAACCTAGATCTGTTGTTCAACAATGAATACATTCTTGTGTAACATGTTTTAGTGCAAACCCGTTGTATTATTCTATCTTTATGGCTTAGTGCTTATTTACGGCCTGTTTTATTCTGCCAAGAATATTTATGTTTCTAATGTGGTTGTCCGTTTTGCTGCGATTGAATTTTTAATTGATCTATTCAAAACTTTTGATGTCTCGTAACGTTGCCAAACGATACGAATGAGGTTATTGAATTTTAAAAGCTTTCTTGACGCCGCAAGGAGTGTGAAATATAAAAATTGATACATTTTTAATATTGTTTATTCTGATTCGTTTTTTTTTGTAAGTAAGAAGCGCGGTTCACATGGTGTTCAAGGGGCGGAATAATAATTTTAGAGATGACTGTAAATGCAAAATTAAAATAATATTTAATTAATTTAATATTGAATTATTAATTGTACTGGTACTAATTAGGGTTCTGCTATTCTACAAACCCCATAATTGCTTTGAGGCAAAAATAGAGAGGATTGTACTTAAGATAGGAATTATGTACTTAAGTGATGATGAATAACATTACGGACAGATAATTATCGACATAGCCGAACGAAAAAAAATTATTACAATAGTCAATCCTATTTTGAATACTCGATTTACTTTTCGTTCCAAATCCACAATACTCCTTTCATGTATGATTAATTATTATAGTGTCATTAATGTGTACGTGAAAAGGGAGATAAGAGACGACACTGAAATAAAACAGAACTGAATGGTTTTATAGCAGGTTTTATTGTTGCGTTCCTTCAGCGATTTCTGTCTGTATCCTTAAAGAGTTTTGCGTATTTTATTGCGATACAAGATAAAAGACATAATATAACAACCCCGTCTTACAACGTGGTGTTAAGCAGAAGGCGTGCCGTGTGTTGTAATGTTTGAAAGCAATTTATTTGCTTACTTGTTAAATGACCTCGACTTCAGTATTTAAAGTTAAAACCGTATTGTATTAACGGTAAAGATCACCGTCAAGTGACTGGGTTGTTTATCCGCGATGCTTATGCGAGATGCATCCAATTGCGTCATCCGAAGCTTATCATCATCGATTACTCAGCTGTCTCATGGTTCTATTACATAAAAACATAGACTTTTCTTATTGTGGTTGAGTAATACTGATTTAGAGAAGAAAAATGCAAATTATTGCATTTTGCAATTCTGTTGATGTATCGTTTTCGATAAATTGAAATGAAAATAATATTTTTCTGATTTTACTTATTAAATACATAAATGATCGGAATCTATTATATATGTATTATGTCAAGGTGCGGTCGGGTGACGCCAGCAAGGCTTATGTCACGCACTCTTCGTCGCGTCTACAGATCTAAACGTTAAGTATCTTGGCAAACTAGCGAAGGTCGATCGTATCCGGCAAACGTTCACCTATCGGATAAGCGAAAGTGATACTATCTTCAGATTCTATAATATGTATGAACCACTTTTCATTTCAATTTAACGTCTCATTTTTTTATTTTTTTTTATTGCTTTGATGGGTGGACGAGCTCACAGCCCACCTGATGTTAAGTGGTTACTGGAACCCATAGACGTCTACAATGTAAATGCGCCACCCACCTTGAGATATAAGTTCTAAGGTCTCGAGTATAGTTACGACGGCTGCCCCACCCTTCAAACCGAAACGCATTACTGCTTCACGGCAGAAATAGGCAGGGTGGTGGTTGGTACCTACCCGCGCGGACTTACAAGAGGTCCTACCACCAGTAATACATTTTTGTAGACGTAACGGAAAATTGAATGTTTACCGTTTACGTTTTGTAAACTTTATCACCTTTGCTTGCGGCATAGGTCAAATATTTTAACGTCTATCAGTTTATTGAAGCGCCTCCGTTTTATGTATTAATAATTTGGGAGGTCAGTATTCCATTTATTGTTTACATAATTTGTATGCATTGTTAAGTCGTTGCAATGTTATTGCTGTATCGTTGTAGTAACCTTAATAGACTGGTCCCTATCAGAATGGCTTGTAAAAGTCGATGTTGTCGGGACATAATAGGTGAGACGCCCGAATATTAATAAAAAAAGGAATTAAATAGATAGTTTTGAATAATCTGGAGTTTCAGAATTTACAACTAGAAGTAGCGTCCGTATGGAAATTGTCTGAAGGTATTTTCTCATGCAAATGAATATTTCGTTCTAAAACTCGTAAACATCATACGCTGTTTTAAAGTGACTGAATGTTTTAAGAAGATATACGCTTTTTAGACATACAAATAGATAATATTGTATAAATATTACATTTTCATAAATAGAATAACATAAAATATTAAGTAGAGTTATGTTTTTGTCATTTTTGACATAAGGATTGGTGAGAGTTGTCTCATGAACAAATTTAGATTATTACAGTGATTTCTGATTTTTTTTTCGCATTGCTGGGCGTGTATCTTCGAGTTTTATGAATGTGTTTCTTCAAATAAGACCTCATTTTAGACCAACGTACGCTAGCATCAGAATTTTCGAGAAAATAACTGGACTGTTAATACGGATCTACCTGTATTAACCCAACTTTAACCTTAACTTTGCAGGAGACCATTGAACTAGTCTACTTGTAAACCTTAACCTCTACCTAACATTCGCGGCAGTCAATAATTTCTAAATGCGTCAGTGCATTAATTTAATTACGCATTCTATCATACATTTTTGTTTTTATAGTTCAGTTTAATAGTTAAGTTAGAAATTCGCAGAGTACTGGTATTGTAAGGTGAGCGTATATTTTCATTAAAATGCTTCGAAAAATGTTTTTTTTTGCGTATAAGGGGACTTTTATTCTGGTATAGAAATGGATAAATTTGTGATAAGTATAAAATGTGGACCTGAAATAATGGGCTAATATCAAGTAGTTCTTTGTTAGACGTAAAAGTAAATCAGCAGGCCTGAAGTATTCTTTTCTCCTAGCTATTCGCTGGTAGCCTAAGAGGCTATATTAGCTACGCCCGGACGGAGTAGGTGAGCTCACGGGCTCAACTTGAAATGAAGGATTGTTTTTTGTTGATCGTATAAGTCGGTAGGCAGCGGCTTGGCTCTGCCCCTGGCATTGCTGAAGTCCATGGGCGACGGTAACCACTCACCATCAGGTGGGCCGTATGCTCGTCTGCCTACAAGAGCAATAAATAAAAAAAAAAAAAAAACGGGTAAGTAGAGTTCGTCGTTGTAGTTATTTAATTATATAAAATACATATTTTTACAAATATACTTACTTACTTTAATTACTGCTGGTAAGACCTTTTGTGGGTCCGCACGGGTAGGCTACCACCACCTCGCCTATTTCTGCCGTGAAGCAGTAATGCGTTTCGGTTTGATGCGTGGGGCTGCCGTTGTAACTATACTGAGACTTTAGAACTCATATCTCAAGGTCGCTGACGGCATTTACGTTGTAGATGTCTATGGGCTCCAGTAACCACTTAACACCAGTAGGGCTGCGAGCTCGTCCAGCCATCTAAGCAATAAATAAATAATGTTTTCCATACATTAATTTCAGTGGTATTTACGAAAGGCGTCGAATAATTACGTCATCGCATGACCTGCCGCTTGGCCTTATGTGAACTATCATCCTCAACCTTTAAACTATACGAACTGCTGCACTAGACGTTACTCAATCTAACACAGGTCCCGTATCTCGGCGACCGGTATTGACCTCGCTTAAATCTGGAAATGACTCAGATTACGCATACTTAAGAGTTAATTTTAAGTGACATTGCTTACTCGGGTACCTGTTCGAAAATTTGTTTGAAATTTTTAGGTCGGGTTTTTATGATTTGCTTTAGGTGAATTTCAATTTCCTCTTTCGTGGGATTTTAGGGAATTTTTATAGCAAATTCACTTAAGTGCTTTATTTTAATTAAATTTAAACTTTAATTAAGTTACAAACGTAAATATCTGACTTAAGACTTATGAGCTAAAACCTTTGACATACCGATAGATCATTACATTGCTAGATACAAGCGATTTGAATCACGATTCCTGTTTAATAAGCGGGTTATATTGAGTTTAGTCAGATTACAGTGGGATTGGAAGGATCCATGTCTTCAAGGTAAGTTAATCAAATTATAATTTCTAATCAAACGTGTATTTTGTAACTCGTTTTGTCAAATAAGCGGCAAGGTTCGTTTTGAATTTAAGCACATTATAATCCGATGCTTTGACGTCTCACGAAGTGTTTAAATTGTAATATTAGAAGGTTGAAATGTTGATGTTGGGGCCTGGGACCCAATGTATTCGTATCAAACGATGCGAACATGTCAGTGAGTGATAAGATCTAGAACGCAGGTACAAAATTTTTGTAATGAAATATGCGCTTAACGCGTATTCCCCAACGACGTACACAAAAGATTATAAACTTGCTTAACTTTTTTTTTTTTGAGGAAGCCTGTCCTGCTTTACCAGGACATGTGGGCGAGCAAAGGCTCAGCCAGGAGGGGTGGGATTTGTTAACAACTGCCCGAGCGCCTCCGAAGGAGACCTAGCAACTCAAGAGAAATTGCTTCGCGAATGAATCTACTACCGGATCGGAATCGCGACCCGCTGAGAAGATCCGGCGAGAATTGAGAAACTCAGCGGGCTGATACATGGGTTAGGTTGCACGTCGACCTCTTTGTCGAGTTCGACGAGTACGGTTACCGGGGTTCCTCAGCCTGCTCCTAGTGTTAGAGCTGAAGTATTTGCTTAACTACTGATGGTAGAGCGCTATGTGAAGTCGTTGAATTTTGAAGTCGTGGTGGCCTAAAGGATAAGATGTCCAGTGCATTTGTATCTAGCGATGCACCGATACTCGAATCCCTCATGCAAGTACTTAGTAATTTTACTAATAAAATTCGTACATATCAAATGTTCACGATTCACTTCCACGGTGAAGGAATAACATCGTGTAATAAAAATCAAACCCGCAAAATTATAGTTTGCGTTATTTCTCGTGATAGGACGTCTTGTGAGTAGGTACCACTACCTTGCCTATTTCTGCAGTGAAGCAGTAATACGTTTCGGCTTAAA